GTCCACAGATGGATGTAAGAGTGTCCTCAGTTAATTCTGTGGTTCCCATATTTTTGAAATTGGGAAGGGTCGGTCGGTCGAGGAACAAAGATTTTTTTCTCATTTGAGTTTTGGCAGGTAATTCCGGACAGGGTCTGCAGCATGCAAAGATTTATTTCCCCGGTCGGGGACAAAAATAAGGATCTGTCGGAAATGAGAATCATAGAATTAGACGCCATAATAGACTGGAGGGGAAGGGCATGAGGGGGAGCGGCGGGACGAGGAAATCTGTTGTTTTCTTTATAAAAATGAACTGGGGGAAGATGCCTTGTTATTATTTAAGTATCGAAGTGTTGAACTGTTTAAAAATTTCAGGCATGCCTGACCAGAATTTAAGTTATTCCCCCACACCTAATGGAATACTTTCTTGGGGGGAAATCGAGGAAACCCTTGGGGAAAGTGGTTTGGATAAATTGGGTCAACTTTCTAAACGATTTTCCGTGTGGGATAACCTTTTTGGATAAACACGGCCTAACCGCCATTAGAAATCCTTGCGCCTGTTTTTGAGCTTAGAGTTGTAGAGAATGGTTTTGAACTATACAGATCTTTTCTTTGCCAGCTCAGAACTGTACATAGAGAGAGTGTAGCGCCTAGTTCAGATTTTGGAGACAAAATGGCTGTTCATTAGGTGTACAGTTGAACGTGCGGCTGTGGTATTTAAACCGTGAACACTGACGCATGCAGGTACCAGTTTGTTTATGGTGACACTCACGTCGCACCCCTCTATATGCACGGTTCTGTGCCTGCAGGGACAGCAGCGCCCTCAGTTGTCAAATATAGCTTGAGACGTTATTAAAATGTGGGAAAAAAATGAAACCCCCAAAATGATGTCTGTAGAATTCAAGAGAACGGCATGTGGAATTCTCTTGTGGAGCCCAAACACATGATGTTGTAAACACTTGCCACATGGTCTGTAGGCCTACACTGCATGAGGACGATGTCTGACTTGAAAGTGTCTGCTACCCTCTGCTTGGACAATGCTAAAATGGAACCAACCAACCAACCAACCAACCAACCAACCAACCAACCAACCAACCAACCAACCAACCAACC